ATATATATATATATATATATATATATATATATATAGAAAAATATTATGCACGAGAGGTCGAAGCCAATAATTATGATTATGATTGTCGCCAATTCCGAAAGATTACGATTGTAATTGAAGGATTGAAAGATAAATAGTGTTTTAAACTTTAGAAATGTGAACTGTTAGGGGGAATCAGTTTAATAAACTGAATTATATTTATTAAAAATTTCAATGTTACATTTTATCGATCACCGTGATAAGTATTGCATTTGATAACTCAGGCAAAGACATTAGAAAAAATACTCTAATGATTTAATATCTTTAGCTAATATTATATTAAAAATGAGATAAATATTTTAGTGTGAAAAAATAAAGAAAACTTGAAACAAAAGTTTTAGTATTTTTAGCCTTGCCATGCAAAGTGATATATGCTAAGATAATAAACTGAAATTCGATCTCGTTACACAAAAACCCAGAGGTAAAATATATTTACGATTAATTTATACAATTTGCTCGTTATGTCCACAACAATTAAATAGTTGGAGTAAGTCGTGGCACGCGACTGATAATTGTATACATGTACATAATAGCTATATTAAATATTGTAGTACAAATATACAAAATATTTACAAGTAACGTTTATATAATCAACTCCCCGTCTCCTAGATAAATTCTATACGTATTATAAAGTATTTTACAGCATTTTTACAAGAATAGGCACGATACTAGGCGAGCGTTTACAATAATTGCACGTATATTACATATTTGTAACAATCCATTGCAGCTTACAATTAATAACAAGTCCGAAAATAAGATACAATTAAAAAACAGCTTATGTATAATAAAAAAATATTAATTTCGCGTTACAGAAACAAAAGAACGACTTTTCATGCCTTAAAAATATGCGCAATGTGCGCTAGTTATAGATATCCCTCGACCATGTGGAATTGTTTCTCTTGTCAGCAACCTGAGTCTTTGAACTTCAGTATAGATTCTTATATTATTCCGATATAAAAATTTGAAAAAGTCGTTAAGTTATAAAAATTTTAATAAATTTTTACTATCATAAGGTATTTCATCATAAGTATTTTATGTCGTACTTTTCTTATTCATTTTTTACAGAATTTATCAAAATTTATAAAATTCAAAAATTCGACTGCGCTTCAAAATCCAACTTGATTGACAGAGGGATATTTATGTTAACATTTTCTCTGTTAATATTGTTATCACCTTAATGCTCTAATTTACGTATATTTTTTCTGAATTCCATTATTAACATAATCTTTCAAAAAATGAAAGAATTCTCGATAATAGATTTTTTATATATACGTTTGTGCCAAGAAGAATAATATTTCCCGGCCGTACAAAGTCAGCGAGCCTTATAATATACTGGAATGAGCCATCAAGGAGTGGGAATTCAATTCCTAAACAATGACACTCTGAGTCAAAAATTGTAGTCTTTTTGTCAGGGATTTGCCGTTTATCTAATATTATTTTACTATCATACTAAAAAAATGTCGTTCACTTGACTAAACTATTTTAGTTCATTTTTATTCCTTTTGAAGAAGAATGTTTGTATTTAAGTTTGTGGCCATCAGAGGTCGGGATGAAACGCCCACGGTAAGCGAAATCTTACGTTGGCCCTCGCTGAAAACCTAAGAGGCCACAAGTTGTTTATACGTTCTAAAGACTCCACGATTTTTTTTCTTTCAAAGATGTTTAGCTGTCGTCGCGATTCTTGATGACATTTGCGAAATCGTCAGAATTTTTCTTTAAGAATTCAAGCGTTCAAACAAATCTCTCTCATCAAAACTAGTAAATGCTAATCGGGAAAATACCAACAGCCTCTAATACGCATAGCTAGAAAATAAAAAACAGCTCATGGAAGATTTTCTTCTTTTAAAAAGGAAAAGACTGATAGTACATAAAATATGTATATTGAGACATGCATTAGCAGATGCCAAAGCTGTCACTCAAGCTCGATAGATTCTATTCGAACCAAATCGTAAAATTCGTAAAGTGAAGCCCACGTTTTAAGTGGACCACCTACTTATCGTTATCCAGTATTCGGACCCACTATCAGCAATTGCGTACAATAACTCTAAAAAGCTAACGCTAATTATTTAAATTGGGGTTGATCGAACGATAATTATTTACTTTTATGATCTAACAAAACTTATCATTTAGAGATAATCGTTCGTCTTCACAAAAATTGTAAATCTAGCGATAGTTTTCACATTTACAATGTAACAAAATTTATCAACCACTCAGCGACGATCTTCCGCCCCACGACAGTTAAAAAAATCATGAATCAATCGGTAGTCCCCGATATTTTCCTCCCTTTCCATATATCCATCAGATATTTTACAAATCTTTTATCATATCTTTTATCATTGCGAGACAGAGCGTCTGTTTTACGTTTTTCCACTTCTGTCTCTCTCCCTCTCACATTTCTTCTCATTTTAGTTCTACTACATGAACGCTCAGAGTTTGAACGGTTTGAACGTAACAAAGTCAAACATATAAGATTTTACTTAAATACATACATTCTTTCACAAAAAACAAAGACAAACTAATTTAATGTAGTTAAATGAGCAAATCTTTTTTCAGTGCAAAAAAAAAAGAAAGAGATTCAGAAAGGCAAGTAGATTTGTATGCATTCCTCTTCTCTGTCCATTGCATATGTTTTTTATAGCTTCGTTAGTCTAGACTCTAGAGAAGGCTCGCTCCAGTATCTGTATAGATTGTAGATTTCACTGTGCACAATAAATCTCTATATCTATTGACATACCGCTGCTAACATCACAAGGACGAACGATACAATCTTTATATAACGTTGTGGCAGATTTTATATAAACTCGGTGACGAAGATCTTTTTGAAATCCGGTACCGAGCCGCCAATATCGTGTTTGCATATGTCGCCATTGTCAAGGTAACTCACGTCGGAGTTCTTCAGGATGGTCTTCAGATTCTCCATCGAGAGATTCGGCAACTTTTTATTAGCTGTCAATTTATCTATGTCATTCATTGAATAACCGGGCGTGATCCTTTTAGTTTTCAGATGATAGGACTGTATGCTAGGCTTCGTGTCGGACAGCTTCGTGTTGCTACCGCAATTCTTGTCCTCCCGAGCCTCCGTACCGTTCTCTATGATACGCGGCGTGAAAGATCGCATGCTGACCTTTACCTCGCTGGTTCGCTTCGAGGGCAGCAACTCCACCTGTAAAACAGAACGTTCTCACGATGCGGGATTACGTAAGCGTGTGCGCCTTTAACGCCATGAAAAGGCCGACGAAACGTTCCGTCAGCAAGTATTTTTCTACTAGGACGATGCATTTTCTCGCATCGTGAAAGTGCTTCTAGCACGCCTTGCATCCTCTTGCGTTTAACTCGAAAAAACCTATCATTCAAAACTGAGAGTAAATACCGTATTTATCAATTATCACTCTTATGAAAAAAAAATTTTACATAATACTTTTAAAAATTTGTCATATTTTAAAAGGTTTTAAATAAAACATTTTTAAACAAAAGATTCCTAAAAATATATATATTTTTAGATTTTGTTTTTTTTTTAGTATATTCTTACAAAAAAAATAAAAAATTTTTGAAACTTTAAATATTTCAAAATTTATATGCTATATGAAGAGTTCTAGAAAATACTTTCTGAAAAATATTCTAGAAAAGATTTAGAAGTCTATTTTGTACTTCTTAATGACTGTAACTGTAATGTTACAGAGAATAGACTTCTTATATTTGTGAAAAATTTAGATTTATTTTTGAAATATGTTTCAATTTGTATAAGAAACTGAGGATTTTTTAAAAATGTTATAAAATTATACAGAAATTTTGAAAAATTTTATAATTTGCATAAAAGTTCTGAAAAATTGCACGATGGATTTTAAGAAAAATTTTATTTTCACCGCGAAATTAAGACAGCATGAAATGCAGACAAATTATATCATAAATTATGAATAAAAATAAGACATTTGATGTGATAATATTAAATTTAATTAATTTAGTGTGCTTTAGGATAGATGGCAAAATATTTATTAAAAATTTACAGAAACACGGCGAGATTTAATTGTATACAATTACCTTGGTTCCCTTACGTTGAAAAAATTCAAAGTCATCATTAGCGACCGTAGTAACGGAACAACAGCTTCTGCTCCTGCAGGAGCTCATTGTGTCGAAATCACCGTTCTCCAGATCACAACTCTCGTCATCGGAGCTATCATATCCATCGCAGTGACTATCTCGTCCTTGAAGATTTAAATGAAGATTCTCTCTCGAAAGATCGTCTTTCTTTATATTGTAAGTTCTCGAGTCGAGCATAGGTCGATGATATCTGTATGTGAAAGAAAAAGAACATTATTTTACGTTAGTTTTACGTATATTATTATATCACAATATATAATTTATATATTTATATAATTTTAATAGAAATATACATGTGTATTATAAATTGAAATATTAAATAACGTGTTATAAAACTTACAAATATTTCCAAGACATAACAGATTAATAATATATATATATAAACATTTATCGCGATTTAATGCGCTTTATATTACAATTCGTGAAAAAGAAAAGTTGAGATGAATGTAGGTCATCCTGCACGTATGATGTACGTCAAAATATGCATTTTGAATAATTTATAGGAAACTTCACGTCTCACTTTCCAGTTACACACTTGCCACGTATCGTGACGGCGGCGGCTTAATGGCACAGGTAAAAGTGAAGGTACGCTAAAAGATACGCGAGAGCAATCGGCGAATCAACAAGTAAGTGGCACCTGGCATGGTCGAAGCTTTGATTCCTGCGTAGAATGTTTCTAGAATAATGCTGCTCTTGAAAGCTGTTTTCCAGCCCGAGAATTAGCTTCTCCAGACCAAGGACGCTCCGAGCGTGTTTCCTGGATGATTCCTCGCGAATCTCATCTAGATTCTTGATTTTCCGATTATTCGCAGAATCCTCCAATTGTACTAGGTTTTCCATGTTCTGCCCGAAGACATCAATGCTGCCGATCTTCCTGCGATTACCAGCCAGCTCGTTCACGTTCTCGTTTGGTCTCGGTCGTCTGCTGTATCCCGACGGTGGTTGTTCCACTGGATTTTTCTTCGGCGATTCAGGAATTTTATCCTGACGCGGTTCAAAGGTCGAACTCGTGAAGGACGATAGTTCTGCTGGTAGAGATGCATAGCTGCTGTCTTCAGTTATAGGTTGCGTTTTGGGATAGTGTTGCTGAATTCCCATGGTAATCGTACCAGTTTTCGCTGAGAAACGTAAGAACGATTATTGCAATGATCTAAACAATTATATTAGAAAATATAACAATTATAAAGGAACAATTATAAATTAATTGTAAATATATTTTACTTTCGCTGCACGAAAAGAAATAATTTTGTGGTATTTAAAATGTAACTAGATACAAATTAAAATTATAATTATATAGGAATCTCAAGCAATGCTGTACAAAATTTTGACATTCTAATAATCAGTTCGAGCGTCCTAATTATGTTGATGATGCAATAAAATTATTTTCAGATTTGTATCTAGCTAATATTTTATATATACGTACATACCTCAGAAAAAATATCCCTAATACATAAAAACGTGAACATAAAATGACTATTACAATAAGTCATTGTAGATATTTTTTTTATATTTACACTAAAAAATTAATAATTCAATTTCCAATCGTAATTTAGATTACTCATCGTTTCGCTTAGAGCATTTAACAATCGCTATTTTTGATTGACTTTTTGATTTGGCGAATGCCAAGGTAATAGAAAGGAGACAGTTGCGATTTGTGAAAGCCGCTTTCGGGAATATCGAAACATTCGGCTTTTCACGTTACAATGACCTGTAATGTTTGATATATCTGATGGCGATAGTAGTGATGGTGGTGGAACAGAGACGAGTGCGAGAGATGGTTTCGTCTCGGACTTTCTAACGTGGTCGCGCTGAGCGTTCGATGGGTGCATTAACAAAGCCGCACGAAACGTCGCAATTAACAATATAGGCCGGGAGAGAGAACTATCAAGCGATCGAAATATTTTCGCATCGTTAAATCTCACTGACATCCGTTCTCGCTCACTCACCTCTGTTCTGATGGCTGTGCAACCGTCCGTAGAGGCTTCCGTTAGTCAGAGGGAACTTCAGCCCGTGATTGAGGTTCAATTGCAGCTTGTACTCGGTATCTTGCTCGAAGTGTCGAAATTTACCATCTATACCGCCTGAAAGAGAAATCCCAGAGAAATTTCATTACAATTTTCGCTATAATAAGTACTATGGCGTAAGAGTGTTTTTCTTCGATTGAAATAAATGTAACACTTACGAATTATTTAAGATAATATTTATTCTTGAGAAAATAAAGGTTAAATTTTTTACTTCTCCCAAACTTTAATTCGGAAGTAGTAATACTCATTGATTTGACGATAAATTTAAATCTTATTTTTAATATCTCACATTAATTAGATTAGCGATCTGTAACTTTTTCCCTGAAACGCGGAAACGTGAAAAGTGATAAATTTTTCCATTACTTTCAATGATAAAAATGTTCGCTTTTCACGATTTTGCCTTAGAAAACAGAGTTACGTAATTGTTTCTTAGAATGAAAATGGGTAGAATGCAAAAACTGAGCAGTCTAATAAAAAAAACTCCTGTTATGGCTGTGAATCGTGGGAGTACGACACGTGAAACTCTTAGTTAGTTACGTGTGTTGCAAAATGAAAATGCGACGAATTACTCAAACGCGTGTCGTTAACGAAAAATTAGTGGTTGTCGCACGGAATAGCGTTGCTGTGCGAGCAGTAGGTATCACGATTATTACACGGTAAGAGTCTCAACTTTCCCACGCACAACGGACAGGTCAGTGTGTTTTTGCTTGACGAAAGAATGGAAATCACGTAGTGCCTCTGTTATAAAACACGAAGAATTTCTCTATAAAAAAAAGACTCACCGTGCGACAGTCTCCTTGCGTGATCCTGCTTTGTGTACACCTTGGCCACGTATCGGCAGAACATCTTGTCGAAGAGAGCTAGAAAAACCGGAAGCAGAGTATCCTTCACCAGTGGCAACCACGTCGCCAGATTTTGCGGGGTGCAGAAGTTCTTTAGAAGACTCGGCCTAATTGAGATGATCTAGGAAATCGTATTTAATTAATTCAAACGTTTATCATGCTTCGAAATAATATTATACAATTTATATGAAATGCTTTCATAAATTTTGCAACAGGATGTGGATACATCATTCTGATGTACATATATAATATAATGTAACAGATATACAACGTAATGATTACTGTTATAATATATAATATATTGATCGATTACTTCGAGTATATTTTTGTAATAACTCTTATGAACGCGATAATCATTAATCAAATGTGATCATTACTGTTGAATGTATATAGAAAACGGTATCCCTGCAATCTGTTGCGCCTAATGCAACGTAATGGAATCTAGGCATTCTAGACCACGGTGGGTTTTTCTTCGCGCTAATAAATTTCACCAGAAATCGTGTCAAGAAGATTCTATATTCAGAAATTGGGTCCGGCTTTCGCCGTGAAGAATCTACCATATACGTTGAACGTTCAGATTGGGTCAATTACACGCAGCTAATTGTTCAACGCGTGCGTTCGGGTGTCGTACACGCGATATCCAACGTCATAAGAGAAAAATGACTGTATCTTGCGGATTGTAGGAAGATCCACGTTAGACTTGTGCGAGTGGGCCTCTTACGAGGGTACTGCGAAAAAAAAAACTTTCGTTTTTAACCGCGGATTCGCGCAAGAATTCGCGGTGAAAACTCCGCGGTCGCGCTTTCAAAAGTACGCGCATCATACACGACGCGATGCGATGTGATGTGGTGCGAGCGTGTATATGCAATTTTACGTGCGCTGAACACGCATGTTGTATCTATGTGAATCGCACTATTTCGTTGATCACATACAATGTCATTCAAAGATAGGAGAGCCGGATGGTATCTCGAGATTATCTCGTTAGCCAAGTTCTTGTGTAAACAGCACGAGATAAATGATATTCTTTGTCATAAAATTGAAATTCTTTGCAGTTTTACAACTTGTAACTATAGAATTTATGTTAACAGAAATTTTAAGAAATTGATTAAGATCTCTCATATGTGTTTACAAATAGAAAATTAACCCTAATTACAAATTTATTTAGTTTTGCTCAATGAATAAGTTAAAAAAGTGTTTTATTTGTTCCATAAATCTTAAATTTATGTAATTGTGAAGGAAGATGTTAAAAAGAGCCAATTCTATCCAAAAAGATGTAGATAAAAGGAAATAGGAAATAATGGCCATAATGGTCGAAGCTGGATCTTTCAATGCTTAAATAATTTAAAAAGCACAATTTTCTTTGTAGATAAAATTATTAGATAAAAGGTTCATAGCGTTTGGGAAAACTTCGAAAATTAAGTAATTGAATAGCACCGTCCGTACATGATGTATTTATCCAAATTTCAATATTCTTAATTTTTGGTATTCCCCAAACGCCATAAACTTTTTAATAACTACTATGTCGTATCTAGGAGGTAAAAGAAACGTTTTTCTTATATACATGTATATCCTTCTTATATAACTACGCATTTTCAGAATATACTTGACTCTGTGCGAGGATAAAATGTATCTTTTTACAAGTACGCGCGGAAGAGGTGTTTCTTTTTCAAGGTAATTCATTTCGTGTAAATAATTTTATTCGTCTTTACTTATTATTGCTACTTTATGTAAATTTTTAATCGTGACAAGATAATCATATTACCGTTAATTAGCGAGTAGCAAGGCCTTCCTTTCAGTTGGTATTATTTTTGCCTCCCGCTGTATATAGTGTATATTTTATCACGAACGGTATAACGTGCGGTAGTACCGCTGCTGGTTACGTGAGTAACGGCCGGTCTAGTCCGAGGTATGAAATCGAAACTAGTTGTACCTTAATTAGAGAATAGAGCGGCACTGTATGCGCGTGTATAATGCACACGCGCAATTCTCGACCCCGTCTCTTTCTCTCGAATGTATATATCGCTCCGGTTGGCGCAATGATTGCCACAATCATAAATTTTCTGTTATATTGCACTTCTTTTAATTAATTCCTTTAGCGTAATATGTGTAAAAATACTTTTTGCAAAATTATCTCTTGTACTTTTACGTTACACAAAGTGGCATTTTAATATAGATTTTGAAATATATACATATAGAAGTGATAGCCGAAACATTAAATTTCATTGTATTTTGCAATTTAAAGTTGATACAAGATTATATCGGCATTTTCCGTATTCTATTAATTTTCTAGAAAGCATTTCATTTTGTGTTCTTTTGTTTCATTTAAATTTTAATTTTAACTAATATTCTGGTTATAATCGCATATTTATCTAATATATTGTACTTTAAGAACATCGTTTGAATTGTTTCGATTGACACAACAAACGAAGCACAGCGTTATGCCTTTTTTTTTCCTCTCCCACATGTATTCTCTTGAGAGACAATCTAAGTTACTTTGCAACTTATTCTCTGTTTGATCGATTTGTGAGTTTCTTCAGTGTTGATTTGAGCTGCAGCAGCTCACGCTGATCTCATGCATTGACGTTTTACTTTAATTGCCGTCGGTAAACGTAAGAGTAACGCCTACGAGCACGCTCATAGCGCTTGTTAAAAGTGCATTCGAATCGATCGAGGATTTGATAACAATTGCTTATGCGAGAAATCGATTGAAATGGATTCAAAATCTCTCGAGAACGGCAATTTTTTAATATAAATTAATATAAAATAAAAAAGTGGAGGCTTTATTTAAGCACCATCTTGGTGCCTAATGATATACATTGATTTATTACAACTGTCCAGAATCAATTCGATTCTCTTTACGTTAAACATAAAAGACACGTATTTTTTTATAACACTCTAACTTCAGATTAAAAAGTAAAATAGCTCCTTAAAATTAATAGGTATACGGTGTTTTCTATAGAATTATTAAACGTTTGAAAAATTTAAATACACAGTTATAAAATTAAAAAATTCTAATTTGTCCATTTTCAATCAAAATTCTACTAAATGCAACCAGATTCTTTCTCTAGTGTACTTTTGTATAAATTTTTTATGCAAAATTTTCATTGCATGCTAATTATTTGTTGGTCTTAAAATATAGTCCTAAACTAAAAACAAAGTACATAATATTAACAAATTAAATTGACACACAATTTAATAATATTGATATTAATAAGCATTTTAAATCATCATAAAGAATTTGTTAAGAAAAAGGTTTATTTTGATCGAACAAGACCGTTACTTTTTCGTTTATTTGTGTTATATTTGTATATTAATCAATCTTTCATTTATTATTAAATATAGATTATTTGCACATTAAAGTAACTACACGGCGAAAAAATATAGAAACTCGTTGACTTCGTCGATACATATATTTTTACATTGTAGGCTCGAACCTGTAATTAAAATTTATATCGGTGATTTAGATTAATCGTTAGACAAAAACACACGAGTGTAACGGCCGTCACGCTGTTTGCACGTATGTAAGCAGAGAACGGTGTTTATTTCGCCGAACGGTGCTTCGACCATTATTTTTCAACGAACTAATACACGCGAATCGCCGGCGCGGGTTTACGTATATCGGAGCAACGAATCGTCTCATTTCATAACTGCCTGAATTGGTTAGATATACCGCATCAATTATAAAAACGGTGATTCATAAAATATCGCTCGTCAATACGAGTTGGTAGCGACGAGAGAATAATTCACCGTGAGTTTCACTTCGCATTTTGCGTATTGTGACGTTTGAAATATTGCTGTATATATATATATATATATATATAAAGAGCTATTTTTTAACGATTCGTTCTGCGATTTTCTACGGCGAGATCTCGTACGCCCACCTGACGTTAGCCTAATTGACCGCGCGTTGTTCCTATACGATGTAAATAGTACGCGTCACGCATGTAATAGCCGCGGTCATTAATATTAATGAGGAAGGTCATGGGAGTTTCTCCGCGGGACGACTTTTGCGGAACATCGACACCGCCGCGTGAATTCTTAATTTGACTCGCCGATTAAGGTCGCTGTCCGAATTAAGATCGCGCTTTCGAATTTCGTTTTATACGTCCGACCCTTTTTCCATCTCGAGCCCCTTTGTTTCTCCCGATCACTTTCTCGAGGAGCGGCGTTTACGACCGAAAGGTCTCGCTTCCGGATGGCACACGCTCGAAGTGAAGTTCGTGTCCGGCTCGAACTCGCTCGCACGAAAATCCTCTCGGCTGTGATGTAATTGTACTGATGTAATTGGTGTGACGGCGATCAGACAATTCAACCGACCACCGTATCGGATTTGTTGCGAGATACGATGAAATTTTCAGGGGCGTGACTAATTACAATAATACGTCTCACAGTGAACAAAAAATTGTAAACCCTCGACAGTTTTTTTGTTTCGAAGATATGTAATATCGCTACGTTGCACAGACGTATAGATATAGACTGTACATTCTCTCATCTTAGCATCTGTAAATCGTTAGAAATGAATCAGCATTTCTCTTCAATTCTGTTAGCATCTCTTTTCTATTCGATATTTTAGAGAGACAGAGGGAGAGAGAGAGAGAGAGAAAGGGATAGGAGAGAGGAAGGGAGAGGGGGAGAAAGATCAAGCCACACCTCTCTCTTTCTAAACCGATAATGACAACTTCATAGAAATGCAAAGTCTGTACTTATTAGATTACGTTCTACGTTAATAGAAAAGTGAAAAATAGACAAGTAAAAACTTAGCACTTTTGAGATAACAAAAGAGAAATCAACCAAGACAATTCCGGTAAAGGGTGAAATTTATACTACGAGTATACTACATTGCAGTGATTGAATTTTGAAAATTTATTACAATTTTCAGGAATACATTATGCAATTGAAAATATAACATGGAGAGAAAGTGAAATTATAGAAATTACATATTCACTATCTTAATTAAATCTTCCAATTTAGAATTTTAAATACCTGTCTATTGAAAAACTGCTAATTTTGAAATGTGTCACTGTTTTAATTAACGCAGCTATGTAATGTGTATTTTGGATGTATCAGAATTTTGTTATTATATTTATTTTCTGATTTATATTATTTTTTCCTTATCAAAAAAGAATCTAAAATGTTTGTACGAAAGGTGAAAGGATTTAAAGTTTCCTTGAACATTAAGCATACAGTGTGACTAATAAATAATTTTACGTTGCTCAAAATGTATTGTATGTTATGTAAACGACAGGCTGTAATTTAAAAAACTTGCAGAATATCCTATATTTTTCGCTATTTAGAAGCATAATCGAGGGCGTGCCATAAATTAGGTCGGCCACTTTTAACTATGTAACGTTGCTACGGTCGACTTGGCACGCGCAATTTCGAGGATATTGCGAAATGCCGCTTCTATACAATCGAGATGTTCGTGCAAAAAGTTTTAGCGCCAAGAAAAAAATGCATTAATCTTGATCGCAACTTAATAAATCATATGTCCTTTCTAAGTTTCTTCGATAAATCTTAACTGTGAGTTAACAATTAGAGTTATTAGTTCGTTAAAGTTTCAATTCGAAAGTAATAATAATTAATTAAACTAACGGTATGGAAAAACACGTCAATTTCGACAGCATTAGGTTCTTACACTTTTACATAAATTAGAAATAGATTTTGCAGTTCAGACTTTTAACGTAACAAGATTATGCTAACGATCAAAACGATTTTCCACAAACGAGTTTCCTGTTTCGTATTAACTTTCAACTTGTAGAAAAAAACGAGTAATTGCTTTGCCATTTATACATATATAGGGTGCCTCATTATCGAACTAAAATTTTCTTTAAGAAAAATCTTTCTGAATTAATAAACTTTAAATTGTAAATTATAAATATTATGTATTGTTAAAGAAAAAAATATGAAAAGAATTTCCTGACATTTTGCGCGTAATAACTAATTTTATATTTTTTAATTCTTTTATTTTTTTGAAAGCATTCAGTTAACGACAGGGATACGTTTATTTAAAAAAAGCGTGCTACATTATTTACATGTTTAATTTATCGTCAGTTAAAAAGTGCGATAATCGGTTTTATGCGTTATTAGGATTAGTTTGTTGGATCCATTATAAATCTTATAAAAAAAAAGAGATATAATAACAAAAATTAAAATAATATTTAATTGGAGTTGAATGAAACAATGAAGAAGCTAAACGTAACAAGTAAGAATTAAATTAAAGTATAATTACCAGGATGGGTAAATGCTCGAAGATGTAGCAGACAAAGAGTATGCTGTAAACGGTAGATCTGCCGCTGGCCTCGTCCACCTGCACTCTCTTCTTTCTTAAACACGCCCTGCTGTTCGTCGAGCCACTGGTGCACGATCCGCTTGAAGGATCCCAGTGTTGTGGGTGACACTCGAATGCTCCTGAAGAGTTCTTAGAGCTCGCCTCGGACAGATCGGAAACCGACTTGAGCAGTTCGGAAGTCGATGGACGACAAAGGGTTTTAAAGATCGCGACCAACACGCCGAAAAGAGACGTGAGGGCCAATAGACCTCTGAGGGAGTTGACGAAGACTCCATATTTATGGGAGATTTCGTGGGCCAGGAAGACGCAGACCTCCGGCTCGAAGTTGAGGACGCCAGTGACACCAATGCAGGCGCTGATAACGCTCAGGCTCACCAAATGGTATTTCAGATGATTCTTCGTGAGATTGATAACGTCATCGCGACTGCTGATTGCCGCGAACACCGCGATCGACGTCAAGGTCAGTTCCTGGAGGATACTCGACGAGTTTAGGACCCACACCAACGTTGAGCATAACTCTGTGACAAAGAATCGTTGTTTAACTCTCGTAATTTAAAGAGTCTCGCCGGTTCGATTGGCATGAATATACTTTGGGCCCCGGGCCAATCTGTCCCGTTGAATTAATTTACATGATATAATCGTTGGGAATTGGTTGGCGCTTCCATGAATTCCGAAGAGGATAATGATCCCGTAATAGCATATCGTAGAGATTGTGACTAAATTAAAATACTAAAAACTGTATATAGTAATTATAATAAAATGTTATTACTTTACTTTAAAATTTTATTTTATTTATGTTTAAGATATACCGCTCCCTTACTTCAAAAACTAGGCAACTCAAAAAATTATCCCTCCTTGCAATTATATTTTTACTCCTTCTGTCTGCAATCTGAGTCTTTTTCGTTCTCAAGTTTTTTGCTGTTCTAAAGTTTTTAAAAAAATTCAGAGTAACTTTTCAAGATCTCTATTACATTACTAAATAGGTTTTTAACTTAAATGGTAAAACTTTTATTGAATAAATATTGAAATTTGTGTAAAATTGAGGATAAAATATATATTTTTTTTATTTGTGACAAGAAAATTCAGATTTCAGATAGAGGATTAATTTCCTAGAAAAGAGAACAATTTTTCAATTAACTCGACAAAAAATTATTGGCTAATCTAAAAGAATATATTTTTAACATGATCATGACTACGGTCCATTTCATGCGACAAATGCTTCGAAGCATTTTTTGATTGGTCAATTAATAGAATTCTTTCTTCCGATTGGTCAATCAAAAGTTTCGAAGCATTTGTAGCGCCAAGTGGACCGCACCCCAAAAATGTCATTTTCCTCATTTTTTATTTCATAAGTCTAATGAAAAAACATCGTTTGTAAAGATTTTGACGATTTCTTAAACCATCTTTTTGTAACAACTGTGACCATTTTTTATAAAGTTAAGTTTGGGCGATTGATAAGGTAATGCTTGTTTGACTTACTTATGATAATAAATAAGTTAATGGAAAATTTAATATTTTTTAAATCACTTTTAAAATAAGAGAGTGATATATATGTTATTTCATTTCGCATCGCATTATTTGTATCGAAATATTAGTAAAGCAATACAATTATAGCTGGGCATGTATTAAACTTTTATTCAAAAAGCAGTATTTGTAAGACAAGTGTATAGTTACCTCCAAAATGATTCGCTGGACGGATCAACGTGAGAATCGCATACAGCAGTAACCCTAATTGATGTGTGAGACTTTGTGAAAGAATCGCGACTGTCAGCACATCGATCTTTCTTTTCGTGGATGAGGATTGATTCTGGTAGATCAATAGGGACCATGACAGCAGCAGGATGCATATTGGCGAGCCTACGCATGTAGCCAGCCATTCGCCCACCTCGCTTCGCATCTCTGCGGAGGAAGAATAAGGGCTGTCAACGTTTTATTCATTTAATGATTAATTATACTGTAACTCATGAATAATTGTATCCTACACGATTTTGTGGTAGTGTCACATAAATAAATCTGTCATTGTGTTAAATTTAATTATCATCGCATTAAATTTCTCGACACTGCTTTTCGAACAATAATATTTATTATCCTATTCAAGTAAGCATTTCCACAGCACGTGTATTGTTACATTGTATGTGCGATCAACGGAGACAGAGCGATTCGTCTGGAATTTCTCTCGCATTTGTCCTCCACCGTGGAATGAGGCAGGACTATTCCCCGGTGAGAGTAGTAATATCCTAATCTCGATGAAAGCCTGAGCCGTGGCAATTAACGCGCCGTGTCGAATTATATTCCTGTACGTGGAAGAGCGGCGAATTATTGTTAATCAACGGCAGTGTTGGTTACAGTTAAATTATTAATGCGACGGTGAAGGTAACGGGGTGTACAAATGTCACGGAAAGGATGGCGCGGAGGGGATGCGACATTTTCACACGACGTATCTCCTTTCTCTATCCTCATTCCTCAGTGACTCTCTCTTTTTCTCCTATCCACTAGAATCTGCTTCATGTGGAGACGATATTTTCGCGAGATCATATAAAGAGAGATATTACTGTAATAATTTTCAGAAAACGTAAAAATAATTATTTGATGAAGTTCGTATCACGATTGTGACCTTTAATTAGTCACAAGACCGCTATTTTACTCGTTATACTTAAGTCTTTAGAAAAATATGTAAATGTCCGTTTGATTATTCCTTTATGATAAATAAAATAAATCTGTTTCTCGATCCTTTTCCGTACATCTTTCTTTTTTTTATACAAAGTCAGAACACGTTTACCATCTCTCTTTGCTCGACGCTTCTCACACTGCACCGCCGAGGCAACTTTCTATTCCGCAGTGCCAGCGTCGCGGTCTAATTTATCGTTCGAGTCGACTCTCGTGCCCGTGCTCAGTAGCGAATTTCCCCTCCGTCGGAATCGCGAGGAATGGTCCCCTCGTGTGTCGTCGACATCGGGCCCTTTCCCGTTACCGGAGTCACTCGTGAGATGCGGACATAGGAAGAGGAAGACACATCCGATCGCGTAACGGCACATTCATTTTTCGCGGCTCCTTTTCCGAACGATCGAATGTTGCATCGAAGTCCTTTCCACACCGTAAATAATTGCGTTTTATGTGACTATCATGACATAAATTTATTACATTGTAAATGGCGTTACAAATATTGTAATAGTACAACAAATCGAAATAAAAATTGATCGCCCAGAGCATATTGTACTGCAAAAAGCTTTTTATTTCTACTTTTTCACTATAATTTTACATCCGTACGAGGAAGTGCCGCTAATTTCCCATAAAATATTGGCAAATATGGTGAGCGGGTAATCGTACTTTCACGCGAATGCTTATCAAAAATGCATCGAATTTTCTGCTTAAGGAATGGTAAATATGATATGTATCTTTGTGTGTGATCCTCCGATGTGTACATATTTCCGAATGCCTGTAAGTAGCATATCCTTTTTTTTCCTTTTTGTAAGACGGTATGCGTACTTTCACGTGCAAACATGAATAAACAGTTTCCGCTTGGCTGACATATAAATATTTTTTGTTCAATAAGTATGAGCGTGTGTTTTCCTCCGACAAATTGGATAATCGACAGTAGTCTTAACTACCTTATAAAAATAATCTAAAATGTTAATGGAAAAATATATTCTAGTACTGGAATTTCAAGTGCGGTGAGTAATTTTCAGACACGGCAGACGGTAATAATCATTTGCACTGTTTCGTAATCATTCCCGTTTAAGCTTGATATGAATGTTTCCGACTTTGCAAAAATTAAGTTTTTATACATATATGTATATACAAAACGGAAAAAAGGAGAAACATTTGAGAAGCATTTCTCTATGTCGGAATTGAAATTCATAGAAAAGCAAAAAATGTAAATTTACGTAATTTCTTTTAATAACTTGAATACTTTATAAAAACATACTTTTAATTCTAAATAAAAAATTGAAGTTTCTGGACATTTTGTTTAATAAAAATTTCTATTTAATTTTGACTAATTGTAAATAAATATAATATTCTAAGATATTATATTTTATTAATTTATAATATATAATATTAATTTTGTGCCGCTAGTATATTGGAATAGAATCATGGCTATCGCTATGTTAAACCGGTTGCGCAAGCAAGAAACCGGGTTAATTTTCCCGCGAGTGATAACAATGTCGCCAATGAGGAAACTGGACCGACAATCTCGCATCACTATTATACTCAGCTTGTATAATTGACTCGTCCTTGTTCGTTACTATACTTTTGCATGAAGGATGTGGATTATTCCGAGAGGAAAATTTGCATTAAAGTTGCGCCTACGATAAACTTTGCGAAAGAAGACACAAAACGAATTACTCGATGAATCTGAGTCGACACTGAGTGAGTGAGTTTTTATACGATCCACCATAAAAGTCGACCTGATTATTCGTTCTTTAAACATACGGTAAAATTAGAAACATGAATCGAGGATGGTTTACGTGATTTGCTTGCTGTGACCGTTATTCAGCCAGGCTGAAATTCTTCTGTGAGTGAGGCGACATGTTTGGTGCATTAGTAGGAAGTTGATTCTACTTCCGCAATCCTGACTACTTATAAATTTCAAATATCTCCTTTGTATTGTATCTTTAACGGAGGCAAATGGCGGTTTAATTTTAAACGGTATAAAATAGAGAACTTTGAATTTGCATTATTTATATGAGAAATAAAATTATACAGAATTAATTGGCTGAAACTGCAGTTGTGAAAGAAAAGATTATTTATACGTAATACAATACAATTATGTGACTAAAACAATAACGGATTTTTTTGAAAGTTTGCCTATTTTATATGTGTATGTAATGCAATTTTTTAAATAGAATTTTATATTTCATATAAAATATAGATTTAATAGATTTATTTATTATACATAAAAACATTTATATAATAACTATAATTATAATTATTTAATTTAATTATAATAATTATAATAAAAAAATTAATTACATATATTAATAAATTTAATAATATAAGTTTTGTCTCAGCGTCTCAATATAATTTGCAAATTTTGTAAAAATTTATATGTAGTTTTATAAATGTACTCACGAAAAGTTTTATAAAATTTATATCTTCCATAAGAAATATAATTTATCAGACATAAAATAATCGAGTTTATTTGATGTTTTTTTTCTGGATTCTACGTAGTGAGGTTAAAGGTGAATATTATGCATCAAGGTGCGTCCATCAGAATGCATTCCATGCGTATATGGGTATAGGTTTACAAGGTCTGACTTGTCAGCGTGAGGCGTATCTCCTCGATTAGATTGGAATGTCGAGAGGTGCAGAAGCGCGATCAAGGTCAGAAAAACTTGTGGAGGTGAACCTGAAACCATCAAGGGGGATGCTGCTATCCTGCTGCCCGGCGCCCAGGCCTTGTTTCGGTGAAGCCTGGCATCGGACCAGTTTCTTTGATAACATCGCAGAGAAGAGTGATCCCGGAGAAGAAGCTCCTGCACGGTCCAAAATTCACTGTTGCATGAATGCAGATTAAAATGACTGAGACACTACAGAACTGTTGACCCGCGTTTTTTCGTAAAAATAACACACACGAAACGGACATTTTTGATTAAAAATGTAAAATATTAACTAGATACAGATCTAAAAATAATTTCGATGGATTATAAAAATAATTATGTATAAAGACGTTCAAACTGATTACCGCCATGTTGAAACATTTTTTATAGCATCGCTCATCATTAAGTACTTGACCACTTCGAGTTTCTTAAGTAATTATTTTGATGGTCCAATAAAATTATTTTCAGATCTGTATCTAGAACTCGATATCGAGAAGACTAGAGCTCGATATTCAGTTTAGTTTAAAAAAAGACTTTATTATTACTTTATATAAATTATTACGATTAACAAAATTAAACTTTTTGCTAGAATATTGAATGATTTATTGTGTAACTTACATTATTATGTAATATTATATTATCATATCAAAATTAAAAAAGATTCTTTAACTCTCCGAAAGGAAAGATCTAGCGCAGTAGCATTTACTGTTGGATGCATTGTGGAACAGAGTATTACGAATAAAGTAGCTATAGATCGTGGTTACGACTAGTTTAACCTTTTTTTTGTCTATGTATCTATCCGAGCGTCATGTTGGTGACGGTAAATAGGGAATGAAATCGACGAAAGCCTGGTAGGTTTAGAAACCGATTGGTTAAATAGTCGAAGCGTGTAGAGCACAAGATAACTTTCCATTTATATAAAATAGCTATTGTTAGTAGCTTTTTGCTTCAAGTAATTTAATTAAAACGTTGCATACAAATAAAAGTGAAGAGTTTCCTAAACATTATTATTGCTATTGTAACTTTAATATCTGTTACTGAATAATATAGCTTAAATGTTACTTTCTATATACAATTGATTAAGCAACTTTAATTAAACGCGTTTATTTCTTTTCGTTTTTTAATCAGCTTCTACTTTACTGCTGCTTGTACGTTATAATTTTGTTACACTAAAATTTAATTTCTATATAAAAATCTTAACATATACACTTTAAAATATTCAAAGGTGCAAAGTGCTTCTTTTAGCGCAGAGAGAGTTTGTTGATTTGATTTAAAATTTTTCAAAGAAAAATCTATCTTTAAAATGTCTTTTCAAAGATTTCAAAGATTTCAAAGATTTACAGCAGTGTGCCTCTTGGGGTACTCGAGCGTGTTTGATGCGGAAGAGCAGTGCGGTTGAATGCCGGTGAACGCCGTGATTTCAATGCTCGCAATAGCACTAGTGCGCACAAATGGCGATGATCATCGTGCTCATGTGTGAGTGTGTGTATTACGCGAAACGGACGAACGACGAAATTACGTTTATGATTGTGGCCTTCGTTCAATTAAAACGTACCGGGACGTGCGACGTACAACGCGGCGCCCACGTGAAAACGATCCCTCTTATCATAGTCATTGTCGCGTAGACTCGAGCTCTAACTCGGTCATGTGAAACTTTTACGATAGACCACCTACTACTCTCGTGTCTCTTCCTTTCTCTATTATAGTTTGTTTCTCACTTGATCTCTCTCTCTCTTTCTCTTTCATTAATAATCTCCCACTCGCTCGCTCCATTCTTAAGAACTCTGATTCTAAAAGAATGCTGGCAGATGCCTGACGACCTCCACCTTGGGATTATGTTTCACGGTTGTCTAACGAAATGTCGGGACCACCCTCCGAGAGTAAGCAACAAAAACAAGCATATCAGAAGATAAATCCTGCCGTAAAATATTTTATTTCATCAGAAATTAGAAACTCCACTTAACGCGAGGAAACGAGTTTTCGTACGTATCTTGTATTCGTTTTGACTTTCTAGATGAGTGCTTGAGCGATTCAAAAGTTTTCCGACGAGAATATATTTTCCAAGAGTAATAATATTCTTAATATACTTCGCGCGCAGTACTAAATGCTGTTTATATTTTTTAACCACTGTTTTAAAAAACTTTAATATTGTAATAAAGATTAGTTCTTTCCATTAAAAATATTTTTCTATTCGTTCAAATAACATGTTAGATTAATTTTTGAAATGGAAAATTAGAAAATCAATTTTAGAGAATGAAGATTGGTAATTTCTTAACAGACTTGTATAGGATATATGTAATGCGAAGAAGATGCAGCAGAATCCTGTAGTTGAAGCGATTTGAATCTTTCTAATTCCAATCTTGGCACGAACGTCTTGCGCCCGGTTATTGCATCGCTGCGTCCGAAGTAGGTTACGAATACGACCGTGCTTTGAGAAAGTAACCAACACCGTCGATCTGTCTCGCTCACCATGATTAGGTGTGTACGTTCACCAGAATAAGATCAAAAATTTGTTTTAAACATATGATTGTGCGTAAAATTTACAGTAAATATGTAGTTAAAGAAAATAAGGCAGCATCGTAAGCCTTGTTTGAAGATAAAACATTTATAAATTTATTTACAAAAAATATAGAAGAAAGTATTGGAGTCTTTGGCAATCAATATTTTTATATCATTGATAAGTGAAACTTATAAATAAATTTATAAATTCAAACATAACATAAAAATATATCAATTGCCATTTAGAGATATTTCAATAATTTCTTCTATTTTTTTCTTCAATGAATTTATGAACGTTTTATTTTTAGATAAATAAGTTTTTCGTACCGCTTTTTCAATTTATTATATTTCTCTATTTCCTTCTTCCTACTTTGTCAACCGTTTGCGTGGAAGGAATGTTTCTACTACACTCGGCACGTGCCAAATTCCTAAACCCAACCCGGTCAAGTCATCCGTGCGGTTTCGAGGCCAAAGAGGAACGGGTTTCATGCGGATTGTGAAGGGTTCCGTTGCCGATGCTCGATATAGCGTTACAAGTCGATTTACAATATGAGGAACACAGGCACGAAAGAATGCGAACGTACTCTATTATTATTCTCCCGCATACAGTTATTTCTTCGTTCTGTTTGCGAGACGATTACGCGTTCGTTATTGACGCCGCTAATGACGCGGTGCATTAGAGATTCGATGTTTAACGAGAACTTCTGTTTAACTTTACGAGACGTAAATTGTGCGGAGCTGCGTACGCCGACGGATGTACGACATAACAAGTCCACGTTATGCGGATTGCATTCCGATGCAAATTCCGAATTACGTGCTTACAAAATTACACATCTGCCGGCGTGTGGAAATGCACGCGCTACATATTCAAAATCCGTACCGCGTATATAACAATCGCAGATACAATATTCCGCTAAGGTGGAGCGGATATTACCGTGAAATTGCGGTACTTCAGCGTAGCAGCGATCTTGGGCGGTCTATCTGATTGAGGACTGCATTTACATTGTTACGCTCATTGAGCGAATTAATGCACCGTCCATAAGCCGACGCAAGGACGCGAGGAAGACGCGTCCTTGACGTTCCGCCAGGCCCATGTCAAATAGTTAAAAATTAGAAATAAAACCGGACAAATTAAATTCTATCCGAATGATCTCTTTTTTTCATTCACTGAAGTGTGATTTTTGACAAAAAAATATAAATATTATAGAACGTCGGTATAATCTGTAATGATATAATCTTACACATAATTTGTATTCAAATTAAAACTAAAGGACTATCGCGGGATGTTGGTTGCTAAATAAAATCTGTAATTTAGTAAAAATACCAATTATTCTGTCAGATATAAACATATAAAAATTACACGTAAATGTGACAATCATTCTGCATGATTTGTATTTGTATGACTGGAATGCGCGGATTATAAAGCAATTTTAGTGGGTCAGACTTTCATACTTTCTCTATTCGCTGTCTACTATTTGTTTTCAATTTGCTTACTGCCAATTGTCAATGATTACGCGGAACCAGCGTGGAATGTCGCATCGCTAGGATGAGCTTGCAGAATGCGCGCGTGCTCCAGACAGACGTCTGGGATCCTCCCGGTGATATCCAACACGACTTCTTCGTTTTGGCATCAGCCCTCTTACATCGTGCACGAAAATGCTGCTCCCTCGTTTCTCGAGCTACCATCCACGACGTATATTTTCAGATCAACTCGCGTGTTTCCGTGCTTTTAACTTTGACGAGTGGCAGCTGTAGTCGTAAACCCGGAGTACCTTCACTCGCGCGGATGAAGGGGCACCGTTTTAACGCACGCACGATACACCAGTCACGAGAAATTTGTTATCGCCGATTTCTAGACCAATCGATCAATCGGCTGAACCGCACTGGGAACAAAATGGAGCATTTGATATCCAGTGCACGAACGATTAAACTCGAAGAATTAAAATGTTTAAATTCAACTTGTCGATTAAACCAAAGTTAAATTATTAATAATTAACACTGCTGTTGTTCTCTTTAGAAACAATCACTTTGTAGCTAGATATATAATATGATGATAAAAGGAGAGATGAGAACAAAGAAGTATCACGATATTTGTAAAAATGAATTTTGACACTCATGTGTTTTGATCTCTGCGTGTTAAAAACAATTGACAATTAATGCAATGGTATTTAATATTTGAATACGATCGAGAACGCGTCCGCGAGCGGACCAATATTGCCGCGAAGAAGTCCGGAGAGGGACTGACTGGCGGCCAGGATTCATTTGGGTCAGCAGCACAACGTAGTATACCAAAGACTGCCTCTCGACTATACTATCTGTTACGACTATACGGAGTGAAGGTGCTATGCTATGTGCGTTATAACGGAGCTATCTTCGCCGTGCGCTTCGATTTTTCTTCCGGGCATCTCGCGCATTCGACATTTTTTTTCAGTTATACTTGCTATATGTTTCTTGTTTCTTCCAAAGTTCGTACCGAAACGATACAGAGTCTGAAAATTGTGACGTAAGACGGCTGCAAAAAATACCTTATGATCCGAATTTAGACACTTTTTGTTGTTTGGGTAAATTTTTATTTCGGGCGACAGAAACCAAAATAGGATAAGAAGCAAAAACAAGATGTAAAAAATAATAAAAAGCAAGCATTAACCAGAAGCAAAAGGCACATTTTAGAATAGGCTTTACATAAAAAAAATTTAAACAAATTGAAGAAATTGCTCGTATATAATTATATATAAATTATATGTATAATTATATACAAAGAACTTTTCTTACATTCTCCAAACTTGATTTAAAAGAAAAACAATGCGAAAATTATCCCTTTGATTATTTTTACGTTTTCTCAATATTATTTATAATTTATACATTATTATTATACGCAATGACAAAATAAGTAAATAAATTATGATGACAATATACACTATATAAATCAATTTATAATATAAAAATGAATTATTTTAACTTCTATATATATTTCTTAATATACTGAAGACCTCATAAATGACATTTTTCATAAACAGACTTTGGCAAGGTATACATTATCTTCTTCGTACAACTTCAAAATACCTTGTAAACGTTTTATTCTTTGTAAAAGTTGTAATAAATAAAACGTAACGAAGTTACGCACGCGATGCGATCGAGACAACCAGTCCTCATCGTGAAAAAGGGGCAACAATGAATTCGACTATAGATTTAACACGCATATTTTGTTATAGCCCAACTATCGATTTAACACACATTTTTATTATAAAGCTGTGGGATATAATCTCATTCGTTACAATTACAATAACATTTATGGTCGTATTACAATTAAGTAATGTGACGAGTACACAATCTTAATAAGCACAATCGATATTAAAGAATTCCTGTCAAATATATGTATTATGAAACGCTCATTAATCGATAAGAAATTCGTTTAAAAAGATGTGATTTATGATAGCTACGCGAATATAAATAGTGCTTGATGTTGGCACAAATGTTTTATGTTTGTTATATATTATATAACGAATGAATGAATACAATAAATGCGATTAAACATAACACACACTTATATATTTAAGAATATTCGCATCGTTAAAAATCGAGGCATAAACGCGCAATAATATTAAATGGGGAAATGAGAGAGAAAGAGAGATATCACAAATATATACATTGTGAAGAATTGTCTTAATTTTCATTCATTCTTACTAGTCAACTTAAACAATTGCGTTCATTATGAAATTTAATAAATGTAATGTTACGAATGTATTTTGCACATTGCATTTTGTTAATAGCTGCAATATATCGGTCCCTTTAGTTCAAAAATGATACAGTAAAAAATTAAATTTTTTAGAAAAGAAGACTTTTTAACTTGGCATAATATTATTATATGATCAAATCAAATAATATTGGCAAAAAATAGATGTTTAACAATAATTATACGGTATCTTTGTTATTTTTGTTTCAGAATTCTTACAAAATTATTTTTTCTTAGTTGCAATCGATTTAACACGCACATTTTATTATATGATATAAAATATAATCTCATCGTTACAATTACAATAACATTTATTATAGTCATATTACGATTGAATAATGTGACGAGCATGCGATCTTAATAAGCACAATCGATATTAACGTAAAGAATTCTTGTCTAACATATGTATTATGAAATGCTCATTAATCGATAAGAAATTAATTCAAACTTAAAAGATATAATTTATATATAGTTACACAAATATAAATAGTGCTTGATGTTGGCACAAATATTTTGTTTGTTATATAATGAATAAATGAACACAATGCGATTAAACATAACGCTTTTATATATTTAAGAGTATTCGCATCATAAAAAATCGAGTATATCTATAAATGCGCGACAATATTAAATATAAGGAAATTAGATATTATATCACAAATATATACATCACATTAAAGAATTATTTTAATTTTCATTCATTCTTACTACTCAACTTAAACAACTGCGTTCGTTATTATGAAATTTAATAAATATAATATTATGAATATACTTTGCGCACATTGTATTCTATAATAGCTGCAATATATTGTTCCCTTACTTCAAAAATGATAGAGTATAAATTTTTTTAGAAAAGGAGAAAGGACTATTTTTGAACTTGGTATAATATTATTATATGATTGAATCAAATAATTTTTTTGGCAAAAAAAGAATTTTAATATAATTAAATATTATCTTTGTCAATTTTGTTTCAGAACTCTTACAAAACTACTCTTTCTTATTGTTAGTTGCAATCATTTTAATGATTTTGTTATGAAGTCAATTTAGTTCACTTTTAATAATGATATAAAAATGTTTACACTTATATAATAATAATATAATAATAATAACTCATTCATGATAACAATTTGATAATTACGTTTTATGAGTTGTCATATTTCAAATAAGGAAATAATATGTAATATTTTAAAAGATCTCTGTGCGAAAATGCAAAATTGGATTTTGTTACTAAACAGAAGATAAATCCAATTTTATAGCATTGTATGTCTCTTAAAATTTTAATGCCCCTTTACAAATTTATTTACATATGTATAACGCTACACTTGATAAACTTTTATAGGTTCGCAATATTACCTAATATTTAACTTACTCTCGTGAATATACATATTTCTTCATAAAGATAATATTTCTATTTTAAGAAAAATAGGCCTCATAATCTCACAAGGTATTCCATTCTTTTGGAAATTTTCACTTAAAACTCTAGAACTCTAAAACTGATAATGTAATGGCACAGAAGTTTTTGGTTTAAATTCGACGTAATGCGAATAATCCAATTGCAACACGACGAAATTATTGTTAAAGAACACTCTTTTAAATGGATACGCGTTTCCTCTGAATAAAAGAGGACATAGAGGCGGTTTATTCGCCTCTTTCGCCGCTCCATTGTCAGTCATGTCCCATAAATCGATCATTTGACATCCTCGTGGCCTGAAGAAATATAATTCGATGTTACGTATTTGTCATCGTACTTACGCTTCTTTCATACTTACACTTTTGCGAATCCAAGACACAATAATTTCTCTAAGACGACGTAATTAACTTTCATGTTTTTTAAAGAGGTATACACAGAGACAGCATCTTTTCGACTAAAAATCTCGTAAACTTTCAAAGTTTTGTCTCTAGAATATCACAAAATATTTATATATAAATTCATAAAATTCTATCATAATAATGTTAACTCTAATCGGTATTTGCTCACTGAAAGTATCGAGTGATCATTATTGACTATTTCTTTTTTGTTAGTATTATATTTCTTGTATAAAAAATAGGATTCTAAAATTTTTTATTTTTCATCACTTTCTTTATTTTTATAATAATTTACTCATTTAATTCTTTATGACCAACACAAAATGTTGACATTTTTTATAAAATTTTATAAAATATCTAAATGTAGTAGCATAAATATAATCAATTTAGACAATGAAAATAATACATATTTTGTTAAATAAATAACGTGACTGTCATCATTGGATATTTAATCTTTTATAATATATTTATATGTTTTTACATTTAATTCTATTAATTTTATGTACTAATGCATACTTAAGTAGCTTTAAGAATGCATTAATCTAATGTAATGCAAACGATCAAAATTGCTATTAAATTAATGTAACTTTGTTTAAAGTTAAAGGAATTGAAAAATTTTTTTTTATTGTAGATATCAGAGGAATAAGAGTCTGTAACTTAAAATTATGTAAGATTATAAAAATTTTTTACAATGTAGTGTCATAAAAATATTCAAGATCACTGAACTTGCGAATACTGATTAGAATTAGATTAATTACTGATCCATAGAGACATCATACCTCATTTTTTTACTCTCGTAATAAGGATTGTTAACGATTGGTCTCCTAGTGGAAAGCATCAGGTTCGCCATCAACGACATTTTTCCCGCAAATACAGCCTGTTCCGATGTATTATTTTTTATCCATTCAAATAATTCTTCTTGTTCAATATTGCCAAATTCACCTGTGTTTAAAAATACGTGGATTAAAATATTGTAGAGAGTAGTACATCAATTTAAATACTATAATCACCTATAAATCCGCGTTCCTCTTGAAATCTATCGATGCCGTGATATGACATGCCACCCAATAAAAGTATAACAATAGTAAGTCGCATGAGTTCACCTTTCAAGCCAATTTTCTCGAGATATCGTTTGCTACACGCAGCACCAGCTATTATGCAAAGATGCGGTGTCATAAATAGCTTTAATCTCATAATAAAAACGGCCATGATTATAAAGGCGCCAGTCTGTAGACCATTATATGCCATATCAGCCTCAATGCAAAATGGATAATTGCTTGTCTTAGAATTTCTGTACCAGTAATATAATACAAGCATTCCAACGAGTATTGCTGTTGGCAGCAATAAAGTTTTAATAATCGCTTCGTAAGTCTTATATTGCAGAAAATCGAATTCTGCGGAACACGTGTAAAGCATAGTGTGGAAATCTCTGTAATTCGTTAATTTGGATTTCAATATATTAAACACGTGAGCGTCATCTTGTGAATATAGAAGGTAGGATTTTATCCACTTTGTAATAAGTATTGTTATAGCAATTTCAAAAACAATTTCTCGTTTGATGTTCTGAAATCGGAACAATTCCACTATAAAACTGGCTATATTACTGCTGAATATGATACACGCGTAGATTGAACAAAGTACAAGAGCCCCGTTTGATATTTTAATCGCTCCTAAAATTGCTAAAATATGGGCTATAGATAAATTTCTGTAGAACTCATTCGGGATGATCTTTAGCCATTTTAGTATAAGAATGGCTATAATTTGTGTAGTAAAAACAAAGTGAGAAAATTGCCATGTGCACAAGCTACAAATCGTCGCGCCAAATAGATCCTGAAAAAAAAAAACTACAGTTATTACGTTACAAAAACAATTTTCGTATACAAGATGTTTTATTTAACTTATCTTTATGATTTAACCTGTTTTAATATAATGGAATCCCTCCTACAAAATTAATTTAAGATACAGTCGATTTTTTAAATAAAAACTGCCAACAAAAATAATACAACTTGATGGATCCTGAAAAGATAAACCCAATGACATAATATTAAGAGTTAATTTTTGGTATTATAATCAATAAATTTTTGAAAATTTTAGAAGAATATGAATTTCTATTTGATCAATCTCAAAATCCGATATCTCGGAAAAAAATATCAAAGTTAGATAAAAAATTAAAAGAGATCTTTTAATTAAATTATTAATGAGATAATTTTTAGTGTGACGAAATTAAAATTTTCTTTCTTTAAAATTTTATAGAATATAAGTATGATTCCATCACATTAAATTCATCTGAGAGCAACCCCATTAAAAAGACCTTTAACTTTTTTGTCTTATTTCAATAATTTTTGAGATATTCACGTAAAAGATTAAATCTAACATCCTGTATACCTAATAAATAATTCTTTTGTTTTACATCTTACCATGAATAGCCCTTGTATGCTTCTGTTCCTTACCAAGATTGGCTCCTTATTTCCATCGTGTCTTGTATATTTTCTGATAGCCATAGTAACACTGTACATTTGAAAAAGTAACAAAGGATATGCGAATGTTTCTCGTAATGGCGGCGTCCATTGAACGCGAGTGCATTCGTTATGGTTAAAAAAGAAGAACAAAATCGTTATGAATCCACCGTAAATGGAATCACTCAAATACGTTGCATAATAAAAAAGTACTGCTGGTGTGACTATTGTAGTAAACCAGACTATTTCTAAATAAAAGTATACAGGTACACTTAGGCCTTCACAGCTAGTTATAGGTGGTAAACCATCTCCTCTTTCTATCTAAAAATAATTAACTTGGTGAGTATTTCATAAAATTAATATGTTAATTAAATTAATAAAAGAAAATTTACAAGTTTTACCTGCCAGCATTGTGCCTGAGATATGATACCCAGTTTCTTCACAATATGATAGAGGAAACCTGCTAGAGTCTGCATAATGAATAATAGTGTAAAATTGTGATAATTATATTAAAAAATGGAAAATTGAGAAGCAGTTTTATCAAAAATAATTACCTCAGGTAAAACGTTGTACTTTTTAGTGACATCAATGACATTATCGTATTCTGATAAATTGTCATGACAGAGCTTTTCCATACCGTCGGAAAAATTATTGGACTCAGCGATAATCTTATAATAGGAGTAATACATCCCCTAAAAAAGAAAAAAAAATTATAGACATTAGATATTATAATATAATTACTTGCATGAAGCACACTTTATATTATCTTTAAATTTATATTACATTTAATAATATTTTGCAATTAAATATAAATGATTTTGTATAATATATTGCTATATGTATATTTGGTACAAAATATTAGTAATGTATGAAAAAGAGCAAGTACATAATAAATTTAGTTATTAAAAAAAATTATGATAATTGAATTCTATTTATACATATGATTTTATTACTTAGAGATATAAACTCTGATAAATATTTATTACATGTATAGAGTATATAGTGTATTATAAGTAAGGATATTCCAAAAAAGAAAGCAAACTGAAGTTAAATATGACATCAATTTCTTTTTATACATTTTACTAATGTTAAATTTTATAGAACATGTAAACAATATAAAAAATTCTTTCAAGAATAAATTACTTTTTTAAATAAATATCCATGAACGTTGAATGAGCATACTGTGCTGAAGAAAATAGTCTCACTTTTTCATTGTTTATACTACCATTATTCTGTCAAAGTCAATGTAAATCAATGTAAAATAGTACTAAACACTATTTGTTTACTAGTATTTAAAAAATATGAATCTTCCTAATCACTCCATCCTTCTATATATATTATAGTTTTGACGAAGGAACTTTTGGCCATTTCAGGTATGTGAAATTGACGAACTGTTTACTCCACCTACTATAATCCTGACATGGCACTATCTTTTTTTTTCAAGATAGGTCAAAACATGTGGATATTATTCAACATTGTAAAAGCACGATAATTGGTTTTCGAATAAATTAATTGAAATGCTTTTAAAATAATATTTCCAAATGTGATAATTCTTTTTATCAAAGGGATAAAAATGTAAAATTTATTAACAAACTTTCTCAAGAAATAATAAATTTGTAACAATTTGTTGCTTTACTTTTGTTGTTATACGTTTGTGGAAATTTTTAGTATTGCTTACATTTTGATACGGCATTGCATTCGGCAATACATGCGATTTGAAGATAGACAAAAATGCACTGTTTGATCGATATAAATTTCTATACAATATTGATTTACCTAATGTCATGTATGATCATGAAACATTATTATCGCCAATTATCTCACCATCTCAGTTCTGAAGGACATTTCTCGTTCCATTTCCGAAAGATGAGAGAAGTGCCGGTCATTTTCGAACAGCGTAGATACATGCCACCGATGGAAACAGCCAAATCCAAGACCTGCCGTTAGAGCACAAATTATTTAAACAGTCTCTCAATTGAGAGATACGTTGGAGGCTCGATTCTTTTATGCGGGAAAACAAATATTATTACCCAAAAGATTTATAAGCCACTGATAAAGAGTGGGGAACTCGTATTTCTCGGCCACTCGACGTTTCCTGTCACTCTTCGTTGCCATTTTCGACAATGCAGGTCACATGACCGCTTTCATGCCCACTAAGAATTGCGCGCTAAATTTTAAACCATTCAAAATAGCTACTGTTTTTTTTTTACTATGCATAGAAATTTTGTTAAAAAAATTTCCTACACAATTTACTTAATATTATTTTAATTTGTGTAAAAATTTTTTTTTTTATAAATGCTTAATTTTATAAATTAAATCTACTTTGAGACTCACTAAGATTAATTATCATTCTATATTTTGACTTTCTGCTTTATTTGTATAAACGCATAATTAGCAATTTTGCTTATAATTACAATTTTGTTGCTGTTTAATTGTTCGTAATGTGTATCAGTATTTTCAAATGTAATATTTTTTACGTTCTTGGAAGTGCGCATGTATAGTGAAGCATGGCGTGCATCGGCACTCCCTCCTGTTATCGATCAGACGCGTGGTAGCCCGTCGTGTCATGGAGGATCTCCTGCTGCAGATCGTAAGGGAGTCGAACAATGCAAGACTACAAAGTTTACGGAAATCAGCTCAAGAAGCACATGGTGAGCGCATCGTGCTTTTCATTTTGATACGATTTTTTATTAAATATTTTTTGCGTGCGAGAATCGCTTTTATTCGAAGCTTCTCCATTCCGGAGACGTCAAACAGATTTCACGTCTGCTTGACATCTGCATTCCTCGTATTAAATATTACTGCATAAATATTATAAATTCTCATTTAATTTGATTATATTTAAACATCTTTTTATGCAAAGTTAAAAAAAAAATCATAAACATCCACTGCAGAAATTGTTTTTCTTTTTTATTAAATTTACGTCAATTTGAAGTGCATGCGCAATATATAATCGATGTAAATGCGTTGGTCGTTGAAAATAAATATTTTTAAAAATATACTCTGATTTGTTGTTTTCTTTATATCAACAATTTTTCTCCAACAGATTTTCTGGAAAAGCAACAAGGCTTGCTACGAGATCCGCCCCACGAACTGCGCGCGAAATGCTTACATACATTTCAGTTAGCACTGGAAAGCAACAGAAGCAAATTCATTGCTTTCGGACTTGCGGGATTACATGTGAGTAAAATAACAAAAATATTCTTTTGCAATAGAATATTTTTCACGCAAAAAAAAAAAACAATTTTCTATGTGCGAAATCGCGAACGTGGATTAAAATATATTTTGTGTGTCTGTATCTTTGGACTATTTTTTTTTTTCGTATGTTGGATAGCATTAATGTAACCGCTTGTGGACGTATGTCCCGGAACTGAACGCGATAAAACGATAGATACTGAACAGCTGCGACAATTTGAGCGAAGTCACGTCGGTATAACAGCCGATGACTCTTAATTAGTTTCAATCGAAGTACGAGAAGTTTTTTTTACAAATTTTTATAGGAGGGAATTCTCTAACAAAGATTTAAATACTTGAAATGTAGATTATAATTGTTGCAATTGATTACGTAGATTTTTATTTAGGCGTAATTTGATATATTATTTGAATTATTCGAATAATTCGAATTTAATAATTCGAATATTTCCCATGTACATGTACATAGTATTTATGTAAATCATCTTGTTTATATATCCTATAAAATGAAATAATATTAAAATAATTATATTAACTTAACTATATTAAATTAATTGCATATCTTATTAATAATTATTAATTGTGTTATAAATCTGATGGTTAAATTAATGTCGTATTAAATGAATAAAATTTAAAGAAAATGTTAAGAGACGACAGATTCCAATCACCTTACGAGCCAGAAGATGATTCGTTATGGCTGCCTGCACAAATGTTGCATGCCATGAGCTCCATCGTCTCGCAATCCGATGATACACAAACGGATATGCTTAAAGTGAGTGTTTCATATTAATTATGAAAATGTTTTAGACCGCGTATTATAAAAGCAAAAATAAAACGAGAAAGTTGATCGAAATTTTAAAAGAAATATACATTTCTAGAAATATATATTTCTCTTTTTAGTGCTTGCTTTAAAATTACGAATTTATTCGCGGATATATTTAATCGTTTCATTTTCAGGTCTTGTTGCAAGTCGCTTGCTCTCCTTACTGGACTATGAACGGTCGTTTGATTATCGCTATATTGACTACTTGTTGTGAGGCGTTCGAGAATGGAAATCAAGCTGTGCGTACTGCTGCACAGGCTGCAACCAGTCAAACGTTGCGATCGTTCTGTCTTTTTTTAGGTAATATGGAAATTCGAGCGAAAAAGGAATAAGAAACTAGCGCAACGTCGCTGACGATGCATTTCGCCTTAGACCTATATAATACCTTCGTGGATCTATATAATATATCTTCCAGACATAGCACTTCTAGTGACAATAGCTTCCAGACATAGCACTTCCAAACACAGATGTTTGGTCGATAAATTGCAAGATCGCGTGCTGGTAGCATGCGGGTCGAAGAATACCGTCGCATCGACGAAACATCCTAATGACTGACTATTACCATTTATTACTTGCGATTGCATCGCCAGCACGTGTCAAAATTTTAATATTCATTATTATGCGTTATTATATTTATTTGCAGATGAGGAATGTCAAGAGATGGACGAGAACGCTAAGCGGAATAAAAATGTGCGCGAGCGAGGCGTTTCGTGTTTTAATGAGGCTCTGCCGATTTTGCAGTACATCTGCAGTAAATTGGACGAGGCTCAGAAGTAAAAATGCACCTTAAAAAATTATAAGTGACGTGAGAGTCGTTATATTTAATACTATAGTAATATTTAGGAAATCCTGTTCCAGCAATGGCAGAAACGGTAGCACCGTAGTCTTCTTATTGGAATGTTTGCACACACTGATATCGTCGTTACCGCAAAAGATTCATACTAACACACACTTTACGACTTTCCTATGGCAGAAGTTTTGTCCTGCTTTGATAGCCTTTCTGGGCACTCCCCGGGTAGATAAGACTTTTACCTCCCGGGAGGGAAAGGAGAACGAAGTTGGTAGAGGTTCCGGTTACTTGGCCACATCATTGAGTTTCGACAGTCATCAGGCTAAAACTGTTTACAGGTAAAAGAATGGGAAGTTCAGAATATATCATCGTCACGTGTAATATCGTTAGCTGAAAAGCAGCTTTGCAAATGTTGTAAAATTCTTTAATACGATTAAAAAAGATCTTGCTCTTAGTAAGGGATCTACATAAATCAACCACATTGAGAAATTTTAGAACACTTGAAAAGTTACTTTTCTGCTGAACGCAATCGTTTCTTTATGGTACCTTTTTATGTAGAGTTAATGTTTAATTTTATAATTTACTGTGATATTGTATAAAAAACTAAATATATCGTTTCCAGCATTGGCACGGAATTAGTAAGATTAGTGGGATGCGTCGGTCCATTGCGACCAGTTTTGGAATCGGTATTCCATAGAATGTTGTTGTATCCACCACCGCAGCAGCGTTTAGAGCCCTTGAAAGCGTTGAAAGAATTACTGCGTAGTCCCAGTCGAATAGTTGATTTTGCTGGACCATTACTTGTAGAAGAAGATCGAACGAGCCATATACAAAGTGACATGGCACTAATGAGATTGTGAGTATTTTTCGTAACAATTTTTGATGTATATAAATAAATAAAACTTAAAAGTGTTTTTTTTTTTAATTTTTTATATTGTATTTTAGGGCTATGGACTCGATAGAAGAGTCTACAACGGGTGGATTAACTATATTGCACGCGAGTGTTTCTTGCGTTGTCGCCATGCTATCAGCACTTCAAGAACTTTGCGAGGGCAAGGCCATTAATCACAATTATACGTGCACAATTAATAGTTTGTATGAAGATTTAGAATCATGTGATTATCGCGGACCTCTGACTTACCAAAGTATGGCACGATTACCAAAAACATATAGGTGAGCACAACGATAATGAATCATTTAATAGAATAATTCTATTAAATTATTTGAAAATTTTAATTAATAAGTAATTATTAATACTAAAATCTCCGAGGATACACCATTTCTGATAATCATTTCAATTTTTTCTTCTCTATATTAGATATACAGTACAGAATATTGGAAATATGATACGAAATATAATTTTAATATAAATCGATTTAACAATATTCTTTTTGATTAATCAATAATTTTCTGTCAAGTTAAAAAATAGTTTTTTTTTTTGAGAAATTTAATTTTTGGGTTCTGTCACTTTTGAAGTAAAGGAGCGATATGTATGCATACATGATAAATTATTTTTCAGGGAACAATTGGAATTAATGAAGAAAGGTATGGGCTCGGATTCTGACTCATCTGGACATGGACCATCAGAAGATGGTGATTCAACGGACACTGAAGGACCTCAAAATGAATCGGATGAGGCTCAAGAAGAAAATAGTCTTGACGATAACGATTGCACAACGGAGAATGAATATGAGAAACTGAGATTGAAAAAATTACCCAAGTGTCTTCATTTAGGCCGACAAGTGGCTGACGAATGCAACGTAGACGTAGAGAGACACAACGCCAGGCGATTCGTAAGAACTCTTAGATCTGATCTCATACCGATGGTTCTCACTTTGCGAAGTAATATAGAGGTGGACGAGGCGTTACAGAATTTTGCTTCTGAATATTGTCAAGGTATACCGTCATTAATGAAACTTGTAAAATAATGCGTAAAAATTACATCAATATTAAAATAATATTTTCATTAATAAAACAAATTTGCATATTGACGTATTTTAGGAGTGTTTGTAGCTCAACAAAAGATACAAGAACAAACTGATACTAATATGGATCCGTGTGCGTTAATCACGATCATGAATGCTGACGGAATCTATTTGGCGACGTATGCGGCATTGCTTCTCAATCTGAAATTAATCCAAATAAATTATTATTACGAGGAAGGTCGACAAGTACCGATCAGCGAAGTATGTCCGATCGCAAATATTTTGATGCTGTTTGAATTCGTTGCGTTTATTTTTCTTAATTTTATTTAAGGAACGATTTGTGGAAGAAGTGCATGGATCTGGTGTATTAGTTTATCTCTCAGCT